CACGACCCATCGTACCTGAAACACATCAATGTGAAATTTGTTTTTGGAAGAGACTACAACTATGTTATTCACACCATACCAATTCGATGCCATATCCCAATTGATTTCAACTGGGATATGAGAGAGAGAGAGAGAGAGACTGTTCCAAGTCAGGCCACAGACAAAGACCTATGGCCCAGGCCATGGCCCAAAGAATGTAATGCTAAATTTCAGTGTCCACGTGAAACCCACAGCCCAAAAATTGGCCTAACGCCTAAGATCACTGGGGTAGGTATGCAGCCCGACGGGCCATGGGCCACGGCCACCCCCTAGTAGTACTTCTGGTTCCTACTTTCGATCTAAAAATGACAGCATTCAGACCATACCTGAGGACTAAGTGGGGGCATATACAGTTAGAGCACCTTTTCTCTTCACTTCAACATGGGGGCAATGCCCAGAATTGCCCACAGACGCTATCCGTGGGCCGAACCAGACCATGCCATGTCCTGCAAAACTGTTGGTCCAGACCGGGATACAGTGTAAGGGCCCATGTCGTGGATATCATGAATCGGGTTGCCAAATAAGCCATGGCGTGAGTGTGGGACACAGGCCAACCATCGGGCTTTTTGCAAAGGTAACTACAGCTCACTTAAATGTAGTTCTCACTTATAATAACGTATTGCTACTATAAGTGGTTAATTTTTAATGACAGTTTTTTAGTGGTCTTAAGTCCAAATAAGTCTTAAAAGGTCAATTGACCTTTAAATTTTTTAAATACGATACTCATCGAATACTCAATAATACGTATCGAATATACACCAAACGTATCCAATAATAAATAAAATATATAAATATTTCGTGGATATTTCTATATGTAAAAAAATATGTGTAATTTTTAGTTTTAATCTATACCCTTTTTTTTTTTGATTTCACATACAAAACATAAACCAATAAAAATTCATATGACTTGGAAGACACAAGTATATTTTCTAAGTATTATACATTATCACATTGCTAAAGAGTTTAAATGAATTGATTACTCTATAATCTTACCAACAAATACTTTTAAGTAAACAATATATTTAAATGTTTGTTCTTATTTCTTTAATTAATCACGTTCACTTTGTATATGTACCATAGTGAAATGATAGGTAATTTTTGGTACTCCTTATCTTGTGAAAACTCTGTCTTTCTTGAAGTCAACGGTTCAAGCCCCTTCCCCCCCTCCCAAAAAAAAAAATACGGTGCTTATTATTATTAAAAAATCTCTAAAATATATTAAGTCATTACATAATAGTAAAAATATAAAATATATATTTATAGACATATTTCAGTCGTACTCGTATCCTATTTTTTGAGTTTTTGTCATATCGTTGTATTTATATTTCGTATCCGTATCCGTATCTCTGGTTCCTAAGTTATGATTCATAGGTCCCACAAAAGTTGCTAAATAGTGAAGGTGCTAATTTGTATTTGTATTTCAGGCTCATACATTGTAATAAGACTTTTGTTACTCAAAAGACAAAATGCAATCTGGTATAGACTCCTCCATTTCCTTGGACAGGGTGATATTATAAACTCTTAGCCAGATAATTTATCATTTCTACAATCTGGTAACCACACACAACCACATCCGTGTCCAACGTATAGTATGACACGTTCGTCTTCATTCTTATGAGCTAGAGAGGCACAACCATATGGTCATCTCTACAAGTGTTCCTTCGACTATGTGTCGTGAAGAAATTTTCTCGTCCCACCAAAAAGAAGGTTTGTGTGAGAGTTAGAGAGATGCCTTTCATAGTTTTCTTTGTTTTTCGACATGAAGTGTTGTTTTGGACTTGTTCTTAAAGATGTTTAACAAAAGTATGATTATGAGGGCTTCAATAATTCAGTTGATATATGAGGGGCCGCTATTTGTCTGCTGCACCAGACATTGTATCTTGCCTTATTGTAATACATGCTATGTCATGGTTGGCATCATACAAATACTTGTTATGTTATGAGAGATCATTTAGCCATTTGTCGAGATATGCGAGAAATTATTCAGTGTAAGAATCAAAATTTTGTTTCGGTGCATAATTTTGGTGAGTTTAGAAACGAAAACATTTCAGGAATGTTTCGGAAACAAGGAAATTTTTGAAAATTTATTTCTGAAACATTGGTCGAAATATACCGAAACATTATGAATTAACATAGGTCAAAAAATGCCGAAACACCTAAAAACCTACAGAAACACCTTGAAATATAAGAATTTTAATATCTAATTAATAATTCGTTTTAATTTCCATGGAAACAGAAACATTTTGACTATTTCAAAATGAAGTTTAGTTCCTTGATTCAGTGTGACCAAAACGCTGTGATGGAACGATGCCCCGTATATGATCCAATGATGCATCAATTGGAAAAAAGANTCGAGATATGCGAGAAATTATTCAGTGTAAGAATCAAAGTTTTGTTTTGGTGCATAATTTTGGTGAGTTTAGAAACGAAAACATTTCAGGAATGTTTCGGAAACAAGAAAATTTTTGAAAATTTATTTCTGAAACATTGGTCAAAATATACCGAAACATTATGAATTAACATAGGTCAAAAAATGCCGAAACACCTAAAAACCTACCGAAACACCTTGAAATATAAGAATTTTAATATCTAATTAATAATTCGTTTTAATTTCCATGAAAACAGAAACATTTTGACTATTTCAAAATGAAGTTTAGTTCCTTGATTCAGTGTGACCAAAACACTGTGATGGAACGATGCCCCGTATATGATCCAATGATGCATCAATTGGAAAAAAGAGATACATATCTTGCTATTGTTTTGTAACTTAAGAGGTCTGAAAAAATACTTTGAAGAAGAAATTCAGTTTTCTTTCCCTGGTTGCTAAGCAGCTATTATTGTTGTTTTGCTTTAGATGTGATTATGCATAAGTTTATAAATTAAACTAAATAGAAAAAAAAAAACATACTAGTCCACCAGTTATGGGGTTTAGTCTAAAGCTTATGTTCACTAGAGAAATGCAAAGGCAAAAGCTCACTAAAGATATGAAAATTACAAAAGAGTTCTCATAACAAAAATAAAGCAAGAGAACAACTGCCATACTAGCCTGCTGAAAACCACTTTCATCTTTTTTTTTTTGCATGCTCTTACCCTAGCAGTTTATGGAGCTATATTATGCAGTCATGTTTTATACAATTACAACCTAAAAAGGGAAATTATTGATAGTGATGTTATCAAAATAGAGCCTAGCATCTACATGTTGGTTACCCAGGGCCAGAAATATACCACAAATAAGATATAAACAAATATGAATTCTTTATTTCTCTCTGAAAATAAAATACAAGAATTTATACAAATTTCGCACAAATGAGATCTCTATCGAATCTTTCTCTGTTTCTTCCTCACTAATCTTGAGCATACTTCTAGTCTTCACTGAGCTTCCTATTTATAGGGAGTTTTTTGGCAAAAAAAGTCAAGAAAGAATGGAACCCATTTAATAAACTAGCAAGATTTGTCAAAAAATCTAGCCGTAACCCGTTAAGCCATCCATAGAGGTGGCTACTAGAATGAGCTACTGACTGATGGAGCTAGAACCTTCACTACAATCTACTATCTCAGGAGGGAGAGAAATAATCGTATATTCAGCAACAAATTCACTGATAAAGTAACTCTATTACAAAATATTATGCCCACAGTGAGGGATCGCTTTGCTTCAATGAAGTGTAAAACATCCTCAATGAACCAACAACTCCTGCAAACATGGAACCTCCCAATGAAAGAAATTTCTCTGTTGGTAAAATATCTATGGTGAGGGATTTGGATGGAAGTTTTGGCTCAAGGCCTCCACTTCCTTCTGAATTCTATCTATTGGGACCTATCAATTCTGTTCTTTGTTCTAACATGGCAATGATTCTTATCTCTTATTTCATGGCCTGTTTTATCATTTGTTTTTTGACTTGCTTATTGGAAATGGTCCATGTTGTTTTTTGAAAGGGTCATCCCTTCATTTGTACACACATTTTCTTGATTAAAATACAACGGGCTTTATGTTGGAGCAATGACAATTAGATTGAAATCAAGATATCCACAATTAGAAATCTTTAAGAGTCCAACAGGATTATTGGTATCTATGATTTATTATGGTTTCAACAATTTCCTACATCATCATGTCAAGTAAATATATTATCTCGAGAGAATATTATGGAAAACAAGACTGTTGACAGATGAATAAAAAATTCACAACTTGGCTTTATAGAAACTGAGGTCTTCACTCCTACACTATCACTTTAACCTTAAAGTATACCATGTATTGGTCATAGAATATAAACAACAAAGATTACGAAGAATTCTTAAAATGGAAGCAAGAGTAGGACTACTCTATTGTGCCACATATCTAGGATATATGTTACCCTAAAAAAAATACTATTTTCCTAGTTGGATTAGATTTCTAGAAAAATTCTAGTTTTCGAATTGGTTTATATTTTTAGGTTACCCAAAAGAGTATTTTGGAAGAGCATCACTCACAAACTTGTTACATTTTGTTAGATTTGAGAAATAGAATAAGTTTGGAATTTCCCAAAAAACAAAAACACTTATATTGAAATTTGACCTAAACTCTCTAATTATTATACAAAAAGATTATTTGGTAATCAATGTGAGAATAAAGAATGGAATAGGAAACGTATTGAAAGAGCTCTAATAAACCATGTATATATCAGTTACAAGATTACCAAGTTTTTAGTGAATAATACATCGATGTTGGTTTTGGTCATTGGATGTATGTAAGGTGTTGTTTCAAACTATGTTATATATTTATGTCATGTTTTTATTGTTTTTTCTATCGTGAATTCCTATCTCCCAACTTATGGTATTAATGTTAATTATCCGTTGTACAAAACCAATAAGATATTATCTAAATTAGAATACAACAACAGATGCTTCAATATTAGTGCCAAAAATTATATTTATATTATATTTCAGGTATGCAATACTACAATTGCCAAATATCTAAACTCCTTGGAGCAGATTACTACAATATTTAGCTCTAACAATACAAACATTTATTTAACTAGACTAGATTTGACTAAACAAAACCTTTCAAACTTTTTTTTCATAACAACCACCAAAGCTAGCATCACATCAACTCTAGTTTAGTCGAGTGCAAGCGGTTCAATCAACAAAGACACGACTTGATCTCGAGTCTCATGGTCTTGAACACCATACCCATCCCCATTTTGGTATATGAAATGTGAGACTCGTGCAATGTTTGTTATATATTTGGCAAATGGTACAAGAGATAGAGATTTCGCGATGCATTGGTTGTTAATGCTTTTCCATGTCTTCGTTATTATGCTTCTAATGTGCTCCCGCGCAACCTCCTCAGAAACATTTGCTTCTCGCATGTAACATAAGATTGAGGAAGGAGCATCACCTCTCTCTAGTTCTGCCTGTTAAAATTCATATGGTCAATCGTTATTTCAATTTTCCAAGCATAACCAGAAAAATTTATAATAAAGAGTTAAGACAAGGGTAATTACTGCTGAAGTTCCCTGGTCATTGGTAAGTCGAATTATTATTGAAATATGATACACAAGATCTTCACCATTCTTCAGAAAATTCAAAACTTTGTCTGTTATTTCATGTGCAACACCAAAAAGAACATGAATAGAAAGCACAGAGCCACCGGATGATATCCACCCGTTATCGAGATACTCTTGGAGTGATGGTGTATAGCCTTGGTTATACCACTTTGCTTCAACTAATAATGCTTTACAAAAATTTTCCCACTGAGAAGAAGCATTGGTTTTAATAAGAACTCTAATTCAATGACAAATGAGGTCTAGACAAATAATAATTTTACATCATGAGACAATAGTTACCGCTTTTCGTAAATGGGGTAACACTGATTTCCCACCCTTAACTCTCTGAATTTCAAAAGCTATTTCATTGGTGGTATCATATAGAGCCTGGAAGCAAATCTTCATGCACTCAGGTAGTTGTTGAATTTCCTCAGAATCCCACCTGAAATTGAGATGTTCATTAGAATTATGAACATTTCTTGGTANGAGTTAGAGAGATGCCTTTCATAGTTTTCTTTGTTTTTCGACATGAAGTGTTGTTTTGGACTTGTTCTTAAAGATGTTTAACAAAAGTATGATTATGAGGGCTTCAATAATTCAGTTGATATATGAGGGGCCGCTATTTGTCTGCTGCACCAGACATTGTATCTTGCCTTATTGTAATACATGCTATGTCATGGTTGGCATCATACAAATACTTGTTATGTTATGAGAGATCATTTAGCCATTTGTCGAGATATGCGAGAAATTATTCAGTGTAAGAATCAAAGTTTTGTTTTGGTGCATAATTTTGGTGAGTTTAGAAACGAAAACATTTCAGGAATGTTTCGGAAACAAGGAAATTTTTGAAAATTTATTTCTGAAACATTGGTCGAAATATACCGAAACATTATGAATTAACATAGGTCAAAAAATGCCGAAACACCTAAAAACCTACCGAAACACCTTGAAATATAAGAATTTTAATATCTAATTAATAATTCGTTTTAATTTCCATGAAAACAGAAACATTTTGACTATTTCAAAATGAAGTTTAGTTCCTTGATTCAGTGTGACCAAAACACTGTGATGGAACGATGCCCCGTATATGATCCAATGATGCATCAATTGGAAAAAAGAGATACATATCTTGCTATTGTTTTGTAACTTAAGAGGTCTGAAAAAATACTTTGAAGAAGAAATTCAGTTTTCTTTCCCTGGTTGCTAAGCAGCTATTATTGTTGTTTTGCTTTAGATGTGATTATGCATAAGTTTATAAATTAAACTAAATAGAAAAAAAAAACATACTAGTCCACCAGTTATGGGGTTTAGTCTAAAGCTTATGTTCACTAGAGAAATGCAAAGGCAAAAGCTCACTAAAGATATGAAAATTACAAAAGAGTTCTCATAACAAAAATAAAGCAAGAGAACAACTGCCATACTAGCCTGCTGAAAACCACTTTCATCTTTTTTTTTTTGCATGCTCTTACCCTAGCAGTTTATGGAGCTATATTATGCAGTCATGTTTTATACAATTACAACCTAAAAAGGGAAATCATTGATAGTGATGTTATCAAAATAGAGCCTAGCATCTACATGTTGGTTACCCAGGGCCAGAAATATACCACAAATAAGATATAAACAAATATGAATTCTTTATTTCTCTCTGAAAATAAAATACAAGAATTTATACAAATTTCGCACAAATGAGATCTCTATCGAATCTTTCTCTGTTTCTTCCTCACTAATCTTGAGCATACTTCTAGTCTTCACTGAGCTTCCTATTTATAGGGAGTTTTTTGGCAAAAAAAGTCAAGAAAAAATGGAACCCATTTAATAAACTAGCAAGATTTGTCAAAAAATCTAGCCGTAACCCGTTAAGCCATCCATAGAGGTGGCTACTAGAATGAGCTACTGACTGATGGAGCTAGAACCTTCACTACAATCTACTATCTCAGGAGGGAGAGAAATAATCGTATATTCAGCAACAAATTCACTGATAAAGTAACTCTATTACAAAATATTATGCCCACAGTGAGGGATCGCTTTGCTTCAATGAAGTGTAAAGCATCCTCAATGAACCAACAACTCCTGCAAACATGGAACCTCCCAATGAAAGAAATTTCTCTGTTGGTAAAATATCTATGGTGAGGGATTTGGATGGAAGTTTTGGCTCAAGGCCTCCACTTCCTTCTGAATTCTATCTATTGGGACCTATCAATTCTGTTCTTTGTTCTAACATGGCAATGATTCTTATCTCTTATTTCATGGCCTGTTTTATCATTTGTTTTTTGACTTGCTTATTGGAAATGGTCCATGTTGTTTTTTGAAAGGGTCATCCCTTCATTTGTACACACATTTTCTTGATTAAAATACAACGGGCTTTATGTTGGAGCAATGACAATTAGATTGAAATCAAGATATCCACAATTAGAAATCTTTAAGAGTCCAACAGGATTATTGGTATCTATGATTTATTATGGTTTCAACAATTTCCTACATCATCATGTCAAGTAAATATATTATCTCGAGAGAATATTATGGAAAACAAGACTGTTGACAGATGAATAAAAAATTCACAACTTGGCTTTATAGAAACTGAGGTCTTCACTCCTACACTATCACTTTAACCTTAAAGTATACCATGTATTGGTCATAGAATATAAACAACAAAGATTACGAAGAATTCTTAAAATGGAAGCAAGAGTAGGACTACTCTATTGTGCCACATATCTAGGATATATGTTACCCTAAAAAAATACTATTTTCCTAGTTGGATTAGATTTCTAGAAAAATTCTAGTTTTCGAATTGGTTTATATTTTTAGGTTACCCAAAAGAGTATTTTGGAAGAGCATCACTCACAAACTTGTTACATTTTGTTAGATTTGAGAAATAGAATAAGTTTGGAATTTCCCAAAAAACAAAAACACTTATATTGAAATTTGACCTAAACTCTCTAATTATTATACAAAAAGATTATTTGGTAATCAATGTGAGAATAAAGAATGGAATAGGAAACGTATTGAAAGAGCTCTAATAAACCATGTATATATCAGTTACAAGATTACCAAGTTTTTAGTGAATAATACATCGATGTTGGTTTTGGTCATTGGATGTATGTAAGGTGTTGTTTCAAACTATGTTATATATTTATGTCATGTTTTTATTGTTTTTTCTATCTTGAATTCCTATCTCCCAACTTATGGTATTAATGTTAATTATCCGTTGTACAAAACCAATAAGATATTATCTAAATTAGAATACAACAACAGATGCTTCAATATTAGTGCCAAAAATTATATTTATATTATATTTCAGGTATGCAATACTACAATTGCCAAATATCTAAACTCCTTGGAGCAGATTACTACAATATTTAGCTCTAACAATACAAACATTTATTTAACTAGACTAGATTTGACTAAACAAAACCTTTCAAACTTTTTTTTCATAACAACCACCAAAGCTAGCATCACATCAACTCTAGTTTAGTCGAGTGCAAGCGGTTCAATCAACAAAGACACAACTTGATCTCGAGTCTCATGGTCTTGAACACCATACCCATCCCCATTTTGGTATATGAAATGTGAGACTCGTGCAATGTTTGTTATATATTTGGCAAATGGTACAAGAGATAGAGATTTCGCGATGCATTGGTTGTTAATGCTTTTCCATGTCTTCGTTATTATGCTTCTAATGTGCTCCCGCGCAACCTCCTCAGAAACATTTGCTTCTCGCATGTAACATAAGATTGAGGAAGGAGCATCACCTCTCTCTAGTTCTGCCTGTTAAAATTCATATGGTCAATCGTTATTTCAATTTTCCAAGCATAACCAGAAAAATTTATAATAAAGAGTTAAGACAAGGGTAATTACTGCTGAAGTTCCCTGGTCATTGGTAAGTCGAATTATTATTGAAATATGATACACAAGATCTTCACCATTCTTCAGAAAATTCAAAACTTTGTCTGTTATTTCATGTGCAACACCAAAAAGAACATGAATAGAAAGCACAGAGCCACCGGATGATATCCACCCGTTATCGAGATACTCTTGGAGTGATGGTGTATAGCCTTGGTTATACCACTTTGCTTCAACTAATAATGCTTTACAAAAATCTTCCCACTGAGAAGAAGCATTGGTTTTAATAAGAACTCTAATTCAATGACAAATGAGGTCTAGACAAATAATAATTTTACATCATGAGACAATAGTTACCGCTTTTCGTAAATGGGGTAACACTGATTTCCCACCCTTAACTCTCTGAATTTCAAAAGCTATTTCATTGGTGGTATCATATAGAGCCTGGAAGCAAATCTTCATGCACTCAGGTAGTTGTTGAATTTCCTCAGAATCCCACCTGAAATTGAGATGTTCATTAGAATTATGAACATTTCTTGGTAGTATTTCATCACTTTAACAAGTTTAGTATTGAGCACAAGGGCCATATGGCTCCAATGGAGAGAAGAACCGATGTTTAGCTTTTTGAAAAGTATACAAACAAACACTTTTAATCAGGGGCGGCTCAAGCTAGTTTGAGACCTAAAAGGGAAACATTAAATGGAGGTCTTTTTATTTGTAGTATTATTTTTTAAAAAAAATTAATTTATTTTTAATTTTCTATGTGAGAGGGAGACAAAGGATGGATGTGTTAATGTTGTCCATAAAAAAATTTTAACTTTCGTTTTTGTTTTTCACCACAAAGAGAGAGAGAGAGAGAGAGTGTGTGTGTGTGTGTGTGTGTGTGTTTAATTTCAACTTTTATTTTTATCTTTTTATTTTTTTACTAGAGAGCAAGAGAGAGAGAGACAAACAAAAAGTGGGTGAGAGTAAATATGAGTTGTCTTTTGAGTATTTTTTTTTAATTTCTAAATTTTAATGTTATGGATTGGATTATAGACCCAAATTATTGCAATAAAAAATTTTTTGGACTTTTTTGTAGGACTTAAAATTTAATGGATTTAATTTTTTTGTGGGCTAGTAATGTACTTAAAATTATGGGGCTTTCTAAAAATTTGGGGTCTAAAGCCCATATTTTTTTTTTCCAAACTATTAAGGCGGCCTTGATTTTAATTGTCGTAAACTTGGCAAGACTTACCTATCAACTGCCTTTGTGAAGAGCTCTAATTCTTGTAGTGAACCGTAAACATCGTAAACATCGTCAATTGTTATTATGAACTTGCAGACTTTGGCTAGCCAATTTCTGAAATGTTTGTACTGAGGCTCAAAATTGACTCCCACAGCAAATAAGTAACTTTCGATTATTCGGTCCCTTGAAAAGCTTAAATTTCTTGCCATCCCAAGATTCCTCCACCACCTGCATGTCTCACAAAATGTTGCTCGATTTGTTTTATGAATGAACAAATTTGAATGAAAATTACTTGAGTCAAGTCCGAACTATGCATGATATAATTCTTTCCCAGCCCTATGCACTTGTTTGTCTTATGTTCACAACTTTAATAGTTATTACCTTATTATTTCCTTGAGATCTTTTTGGTGTGTGGCTTGAACCATGTTGAAATGAAGCTTAGCCACCTTGAGCAAATTGGAGTTGATGTTACCCACTTTTCCATATTCATGGATGTTTCTCGTGACATTATACCACTCCAATCTCCAGTGCAACGGAAGCTCCAACGCAGTGCTCAATTGTTTGGCTAGCGAAACGTCCGAGTTTGAAATGACAGTCTTAATATTTTCAGTAGAAAACATTCTGGCCTTGTCCATTATTTTTTCACCTTCTAAGGCAAGGTATGATGCTTCAAATAGCTCGAGCATTGCTTTGACATTTGTGGTTGTGCTTTGCATAAAATTACCCGTCTCATCCACGAATCTGATAAATATGTCTGAATTTCACATAGCATTTAAAATGTTAGGACAAAGAACTGAAAATAAAATCATTTTTTTTGTTTATTATTGCTATAAATAACAATCATTGATTCATGAGTTGAGTTGTTTGTACCTTGTGAAACATTGTAGCCATATTGCCTAAGTAACCTAAAGCGTAGTGCAGTAGCATAGAGATCCTCTTCTATGGTGAGATTGTTGTCCTTAAGACACATTATCATGTCTAGGGCATCCTTGATTTCCTCCTCAAAAAGGGTGGCTAGACCTAGTTTCCCAATGCTGTCTACAAGCTCTAACTTAGCCAATGGCTCCACGGTTTCAACGAATGTGAACCTAACTTCCTCTTTCAGCTTCTCTGCATGTTTATATGTGTCTGCCTGCATGCATTATAAGAGCAAGGTAAAATGTTTGCATATTTTTATGACATAAGTACTTAGGTAGCAATTTGTATATGTAAAATACATTATAAACTAACTAATAGCAATGTGGTGGGGAGTTGTAGAATCTCACCGTGTATTCACTTGTAAGAGACTCTATGTAATCATATTTCCATATATTTGGCTTGTAATTAGCCGACCGCCTTTGAATGCTTTCATCCTTTGAACTATTAATTTTAGCCTTCATCTGGAACTGTAGCACTTGCTGATCACTTGGCATTCCATTTGTGCAAGTCAGCATGGTTGGAGAGTATAGAGAGGAGAGATGGTAGCAAAGGTATGTAATTGTAGAGATGAGAGTGATGAGAGATGAATTAAGATCTACTTCATCCCCGTTTATATAGGTAGTGACAATCATGTAACACGTGAATATGATTACATGGTGATGACATACGTCAATGCTTCGAACTTAATTTAGAGATATTTAAATGTGAAATTTTTTTGAGCCTTTAGGGGACCACAATGAAATGATATAACATAGAAGTATTCAGTGTTTGTTGGTGTAGCCATCTAGCTTTGGCACATGATTCAGACATTGAGTGTGACCCCTCCCTTGGACTTATTACAAAGAGATATTCTTAAGTTATGAAATGGTGGAACCACTCACAATCTCATCCAATGTTTCTTTCTTGAAAAGTCGGGAAGCATACAGTGTGGTCATCTCCAATTGTATCTCTTAAAGTACGTGTTGCATCGAAGTTTCCTTATCCCCCAAAAAAAGGGTTTGCAATGAAGAAAATGCTATACACAAGTATAAAATTAATTCCTTTTAACAAAAATGTGGCATTCGACCTTTACACAAGGTAGAGAGGTGTTTTTCATATTATATTTGCCAATAAGTGCTATTGTGGCCTTTTTCCTCGCAAAAGCNAATTGGTTTATATTTTTAGGTTACCCAAAAGAGTATTTTGGAAGAGCATCACTCACAAACTTGTTACATTTTGTTAGATTTGAGAAATAGAATAAGTTTGGAATTTCCCAAAAAACAAAAACACTTATATTGAAATTTGACCTAAACTCTCTAATTATTATACAAAAAGATTATTTGGTAATCAATGTGAGAATAAAGAATGGAATAGGAAACGTATTGAAAGAGCTCTAATAAACCATGTATATATCAGTTACAAGATTACCAAGTTTTTAGTGAATAATACATCGATGTTGGTTTTGGTCATTGGATGTATGTAAGGTGTTGTTTCAAACTATGTTATATATTTATGTCATGTTTTTATTGTTTTTTCTATCGTGAATTCCTATCTCCCAACTTATGGTATTAATGTTAATTATCCGTTGTACAAAACCAATAAGATATTATCTAAATTAGAATACAACAACAGATGCTTCAATATTAGTGCCAAAAATTATATTTATATTATATTTCAGGTATGCAATACTACAATAGCCAAATATCTAAACTCCTTGGAGCAGATTACTACAATATTTAGCTCTAACAATACAAACATTTATTTAACTAGACTAGATTTGACTAAACAAAACCTTTCAAACTTTTTTTTCATAACAACCACCAAAGCTAGCATCACATCAACTCTAGTTTAGTCGAGTGCAAGCGGTTCAATCAACAAAGACACAACTTGATCTCGAGTCTCATGGTCTTGAACACCATACCCATCCCCATTTTGGTATATGAAATGTGAGACTCGTGCAATGTTTGTTATATATTTGGCAAATGGTACAAGAGATAGAGATTTCGCGATGCATTGGTTGTTAATGCTTTTCCATGTCTTCGTTATTATGCTTCTAATGTGCTCCCGCGCAACCTCCTCAGAAACATTTGCTTCTCGCATGTAACATAAGATTGAGGAAGGAGCATCACCTCTCTCTAGTTCTGCCTGTTAAAATTCATATGGTCAATCGTTATTTCAATTTTCCAAGCATAACCAGAAAAATTTATAATAAAGAGTTAAGACAAGGGTAATTACTGCTGAAGTTCCCTGGTCATTGGTAAGTCGAATTATTATTGAAATATGATACACAAGATCTTCACCATTCTTCAGAAAATTCAAAACTTTGTCTGTTATTTCATGTGCAACACCAAAAAGAACATGAATAGAAAGCACAGAGCCACCGGATGATATCCACCCGTTATCGAGATACTCTTGGAGTGATGGCGTATAGCCTTGGTTATACCACTTTGCTTCAACTAATAATGCTTTACAAAAATCTTCCCACTGAGAAGAAGCATTGGTTTTAATAAGAACTCTAATTCAATGACAAATGAGGTCTAGACAAATAATAATTTTACATCATGAGACAATAGTTACCGCTTTTCGTAAATGGGGTAACACTGATTTCCCACCCTTAACTCTCTGAATTTCAAAAGCTATTTCATTGGTGGTATCATATAGAGCCTGGAAGCAAATCTTCATGCACTCAGGTAGTTGTTGAATTTCCTCAGAATCCCACCTGAAATTGAGATGTTCATTAGAATTATGAACATTTCTTGGTAGTATTTCATCACTTTAACAAGTTTAGTATTGAGCACAAGGGCCATATGGCTCCAATGGAGAGAAGAACCGATGTTTAGCTTTTTGAAAAGTATACAAACAAACACTTTTAATCAGGGGCGGCTCAAGCTAGTTTGAGACCTAAAAGGGAAACATTAAATGGAGGTCTTTTTATTTGTAGTATTATTTTTTTAAAAAAATTAATTTATTTTTAATTTTCTATGTGAGAGGGAGACAAAGGATGGATGTGTTAATGTTGTCCATAAAAAAATTTTAACTTTCGTTTTTGTTTTTCACCACAAAGAGAGAGAGAGAGAGAGAGTGTGTGTGTGTGTGTGTGTGTGTGTTTAATTTCAACTTTTATTTTTATCTTTTTATTTTTTTACTAGAGAGCAAGAGAGAGAGAGACAAACAAAAAGTGGGTGAGAGTAAATATGAGTTGTCTTTTGAGTATTTTTTTTTAATTTCTAAATTTTAATGTTATGGATTGGATTATAGACCCAAATTATTGCAATAAAAAAATTTTTGGACTTTTTTGTAGGACTTAAAATTTAATGGATTTAATTTTTTTGTGGGCTAGTAATGTACTTAAAATTATGGGGCTTTCTAAAAATTTGGGGTCTAAAGCCCATATTTTTTTTTTCCAAACTATTAAGGCGGCCTTGATTTTAATTGTCGTAAACTTGGCAAGACTTACCTATCAACTGCCTTTGTGAAGAGCTCTAATTCTTGTAGTGAACCGTAAACATCGTAAACATCGTCAATTGTTATTATGAACTTGCAGACTTTGGCTAGCCAATTTCTGAAATGTTTGTACTGAGGCTCAAAATTGACTCCCACAGCAAATAAGTAACTTTCGATTATTCGGTCCCTTGAAAAGCTTAAATTTCTTGCCATCCCAAGATTCCTCCACCACCTGCATGTCTCACAAAATGTTGCTCGATTTGTTTTATGAATGAACAAATTTGAATGAAAATTACTTGAGTCAAGTCCGAACTATGCATGATATAATTCTTTCCCAGCCCTATGCACTTGTTTGTCTTATGTTCACAACTTTAATAGTTATTACCTTATTATTTCCTTGAGATCTTTTTGGTGTGTGGCTTGAACCATGTTGAAATGAAGCTTAGCCAACTTGAGCAAATTGGAGTTGATGTTACCCACTTTTCCATATTCATGGATGTTTCTCGTGACATTATACCACTCCAATCTCCAGTGCAACGGAAGCTCCAACGCAGTGCTCAATTGTTTGGCTAGCGAAACGTCCGAGTTTGAAATGACAGTCTTAATATTTTCAGTAGAAAACATTCTGGCCTTGTCCATTATTTTTTCACCTTCTAAGGCAAGGTATGATGCTTCAAATAGCTCGAGCATTGCTTTGACATTTGTGGTTGTGCTTTGCATAAAATTACCCGTCTCATCCACGAATCTGATAAATATGTCTGAATTTCACATAGCATTTAAAATGTTAGGACAAAGAACTGAAAATAAAATCATTTTTTTTGTTTATTATTGCTATAAATAACAATCATTGATTCATGAGTTGAGTTGTTTGTACCTTGTGAAACATTGTAGCCATATTGCCTAAGTAACCTAAAGCGTAGTGCAGTAGCATAGAGATCCTCTTCTATGGTGAGATTGTTGTCCTNAGATCAATATTATTGAGACCTAAAAATTTAACATAATTTTATTAATTAGTTAATGATGTGACAACTAACATGGTTCAATATCATTATCTGGCTTGCAATTGTTAAATTTCTTCATTGGGACGATTCCAAGACAATCATAAAAAGGAGGAGGAGGTAACTAATAGAAAAATAAAAAGAATTTCATTGTGGTGCCCCTAGACGATTCCAAGACAATCATAATTCACTTATTCAATTTTGTATTTGTTGGGGGTTTCCTAGTAATTTAAAACTGATAGGGTTTAATATTTAAAACATATGTAAAACTGATTCAACGCATTTTATTTTGTTTGAACAAACGTAGAGATGAATTCTCATTTTTTCCAACTGACTTGGTATTCTTCATGAATAAACAAGTCTTTTGACGACTTTAATCTGGTATTATTGTTATAATCTAACACATTATAGTTTCTGTTATTTAATCTAACCATGCCGCCGTGCATCATGCTCTCCCCCCCTCCTCCCTCTCTCTCATTGTAAAATTGTACTTCATAACATTGGCTACACCATAATGGATACAAAACTCTCCTGACACTTTTGTAAATAGATCCAATCTGCAATGACAATAAATGGGACAAAACAAATCTGCCTTAGCTCTGGATATTCAAAATTCAAAGTCTATTTGACACTAAATAATTTTAGAAACCTATATTATGAGAATGACCCAACAATGGCCAAATGTTTAATCTTCTGATCATCCAATTCAGCATCAAATTCATCAAATTCGTCCATTTTTGAGACATATACTAGCGGGACCTAGGTGAAAGCCATGAGGAAATCACTTGAAATATATCTTAGCCAACATAAAGTGTAAGTTATATAACCTAAAAGGTATCAACAGCGCGTTTGATATGTGTGGGCAGGGTTAGCATGCAACATTATCTCTTTTTTCGATCCTTCAATTTTCGTGTACAGTGAAATAAATTTGTATGAAATATTTTAAAAGTTCTCTCAAAACCACACAACTAAACCCAATGTAAGGGGTAAAACTCTCTACTAAGGATTTCGGTTTGACCTGGGTTAACCCATGCGGGCGATCCCCCAATAACATTTATCTCTCAATGTAAGCAGGAGCTTCGTCTCACATCGACTGAGAGTCGTCTCCCCCCCTCACATATAAGCCCTTGCACTCAAAGGAGGAGGTACTCACTAGGCACCTGATCTGCCTAGTGAGTACCTCCTCCTTTGAGTGCAAGGACTTATATGTGAGGGGGGGAGACGACTCTCAGTCGATGTGAGACGAAGCTCCTGCGGGCACTAAGAGGTAAAGGCTACTGGAGGGTCGCCAACGTGGGTTAACCCAGGTCAAGCCGAAATCCTTAGTAGAGAGTTTTACCCCTTAACAGCCAACATCAAACACGTAGCTGCGGCCACTCGTTTTTCTTCTTTCGTATGAAAGGGGAAGACACAGTTTGACAATATANGTGTGGTAGGCTCGGAATGTTTTTGTTTTCATATTGTTTGCCAATAAGTTTTTTTTTGCCTTTGCTACCAAAGAAGGATTTAAGAGAGCTATGATTTATAGGTTTTAAAATCTAGCGTAAAAAAATTAATAGATCAATATTATTGAGACCTAAAAATTTAACATAATTTTATTAATTAGTTAATGATGTGACAACTAACATGGTTCAATATCATTATCTGGCTTGCAATTGTTAAATTTCTTCATTGGGACGATTNGCTACTATTTGGTGGGTCCATATAAATAATTTGTATTTGCCCGGTTATGTTACATGCTATGTCATTGATGGCCTCATGCGAAAAACCACGATTTTAATGACAGATCATTTAGCTATTTGTCCGATATATGAGAAAATTATTTGGTGTNCTTGGGTTAATCAATGAAACTAAGCTTTAGAACTGTTTGGGTTATGTATTTAATATTTTGTATTTGTTGGGGGTTTCCTAGTAATTTAAAACTGTTAGGGTTTAATATTTAAAACATATGTACAACTGATTCAACGCATTTTATTTTGTTTGAACAAACGTAGAGATGAATTCTCATTTTTTCCAACTGACTTGGTATTCTTCGTGAATAAACAAGTCTTTTGACGACTTTAATCTGGTATTATTGTTATAATCTAACACATTATAGTTTCTGTTATTTAATCTAACCATGCCGCCGTGCATCATGCTCTCCCCCCCTCCTCCCTCTCTCTCATTGTAAAATTGTACNGGACTGCACAAGATTAAATATTTTGGCTCGAAAGTTTACATCAAAAGATGAAGCATATTAACAAAAGTTCACTATAAATAATGCGGATTATAAGGAGTTTTTAAAAAGGAAACAAACGAGTAATTACTTCACTCTGTCATGCATCTATAATATATATAACATCAAAAAACCAATGGGACTAGATTTCAATAAACACCTTAGTCTTCTATTCTAATTGGTTTGAAATTCAAGAAGTGGGTCGTCCAAAAAATTGCTAGTAACCGTCCTTCATTCATGGACTATAAGACTCGCAAACTTTCTTGAAGAAATTCAACTAGTTTTATGTCATACGGTTAGGATCGAAATGCAAAACATTATTGTAGAAGCTTTATTGTCTTACCAAAATACCATTTTTCATTATAGTACCTCTATTTTTTATTCAATAGAAACGTATATATGTCTAAAGTTTTTATATTTTATTATTCTACCAATTTTTTTAATTAATGGCGGTAATCATCTAATTTAAAATCGATGACTAAGACAACTTACAGTACGGTATTAAAAATATCATAGCTTATCTTTTTGGTAGAATTAGAACCACAAACAGGTTGTCTGGGTCTTTACTGATGGATGACAAGGCTATAAATCGTGTGGTCCAAAGCTTTGATGAGGACTACTTGTGGTCAGACAGTTTTTTGCACTGCCACATCCCAGCAGTAACAGTGCAACCATGTGTTTTAAGTTTTNCCACAATCAGGTTGTCTGGGTCGTCACTGATGGATGACAAGGCTATAAATCGTGTGGTCCAAAGCTTTGATGAGGACTACTTGTGGTCAGATAGTTTTTTGCACTGCCACATCCCAGCAGTAACAGTGCAACCATGTGTTTTAAGTTTTNTTGTGTGGTAGGCTCGGAATGTTTTTGTTTTCATATTGTTTGCCAACAAGTTTTTTTTTGCCTTTGCTACCAAAGAAGGATTTAAGAGAGCTATGATTTATAGGTTTTCAAATCTAGCGTAAAAAAATTAATAGATCAATATTATTGAGACCTAAAAATTTAACATNTTAAATGCTTAGAGAAGCAGGGGCCAATGTGGGGGACTTCATTGTCATGAACTTTTTGTTAATAAGCTTCACGAACACAATTTTATTCACGACATTATCGTAAATATTTATATTACACTTTTCTTTAACAACTCAAGTTTTTTGGATAGGTAGGAGTTTATTTTTAGAACTTAGAGTTCATGAGTTCAAATAATATAGGCCTCCTCCCTTACTACAGTAATAAATTATTTGAATCTAATTTGAAACATAATTCAATGTAATTGTTGGATTAAAGAGGGTTTCATTTAATATTAAAATTCATAATTAATCTAATGACTATGTTGGATTAGGCCCCTAATTAAGTCTCTATAGCATTGCTCGTAAGTAAATATCATGATTCATTTGGTGGAATAGATGAAAAAAAGAAAGGAAATACAGTAAGAGTGATACACTTTTTATTGTTAGATGAAAGTAAACTTATTTTCCTCCATTTGTGCTTGAAAAGAAAGATAGAAAGCATGATGTTAAAATATTTGTAATATGTAATATATGAATAGAATGCATTATATATAAGTTTATTGAAAATAATGAAATTAGGCGTTTAGTATATTAGACTCCATTATTAATCATTAATAATCTATATTTATAATTTTTTTGAACTTAAATATGTATATATTCTCATTGGATATACAATCGTGTTAAGAATTATCGACCCTAAGCAAAATGCAGATTTTTTACTAGTGTTACACTTTGGTTCAATGTTAAATTGCTAATTGAAGACAAGGTCACAATCATGAGAGCACTCAAATTGGCTTTATCAAAAAAAAATGTGAAAATCACGTCTGAAAACAAACTAAGAATGAAGAATGTAGGTCCTAACACGTTTTCAGACACAGTAACATGAAACACATGAAACACAAGTGGGTCAATGCACAAGTACAAAACCTGGGACTTATATCTCTTTCAATATAAATATTTGTTGCTTGGCAAGTTATTTATTATTAATGTGTGAGAGACTTACTTGTCATTATAAGAAAAAATGGTTTTTATAGGGGTAAAGTATTGTCATAAAAAATTTATTTGTCATCATAAATATTTTTTGTGGCTGCATTGCCTCGTCATAATAAGTGTGGTCTTAAAAGATTTTTACGGTAGCAACGGTTTATTTCAAATGATATTTACGGCGGTAAGATCTTGTTATAAATAAGTTGTCACAAAAATTCGACACTTTTGTTTTTATCACGGAGGCAAAAGTGTGGTCTCAAATACCATATTTGATTGTCGTAAAAAATAGAAGATATATTTATGATTGCAACGATGCCGCCACCAAAAAAAAAAATTTTTTTTTTAATTATTATGGACTGTTCATAACCAATATTATATATCATGTACATATATACACTCCATATAATTTTTTTTGTTGATGGAGGAGGGGGAAATGAGACTTGAACCCTTGACCTAAAGAAGACAAAGTTTTTATAATGTAAAGAA